ATATATATATATATATATGTTATTAGAGTTTTCACTTTTTCTATATCATATGATATATGTTCTAAGATATATGTACATCTGTATATATATATACATATATTATGTTGTATTAATATATTATGCATACTCTACATTATATTATTCATCATGTATCATAAATGCTGTAATATATACGATCTACCACATCATTTTGAAGGGATTAAGGCTTTGGGCCCAGGGACGCTAAACCCAAAATCCTGACTTCTGAATCTCGTGTTTGTAGCATCCCAGGCACTAACGTGCAGAGCATACAAAAGCGAGAGGAAACACAAAGGGTACTTATTAGGGGGCATGGGGTCTCCCAAGGCCCTCTGACCCTCAACCCCAACGCAAACACAGAACCCAGAACCCTAAATCCTGAATCCTCTAACCCTTAGCCGTTAAACCCTGAACCCCACACACAGAACCCTGAACCCTAAATCCTAACGTAGGGATATCGTATGTACTTTGGACTTATAGGGTTTGCCATATAACATAAAACCGTTTACATTACATAGCTACATGGAATTTTTTGAGATTCCACGCCGTGTTGTAGAAACCAAGGTCTTGAAAACTAGTTTTCATGTAGGCCCCTAGGATTGTGGTCTACACAGGGCCCTGCTTCAGGCCCAGGACATCTGTACAAACAAATGGTGCCGTTTCCCTTCACGCTCCTACGGCTAAGGGACGATGTCACCTCGCAAATTCCATCCCCTAAGGGTCCAAGGACCCAAATAGTAGGGTTTTAGGGCCCTAAATCCCTATTATTTGGGTCCGGATCCAAGGACCCAACTAGTAGGGTGTTAGGGCCCAAATACTATAATATGAATGGTATTACCTACATCCCTATTATTTGGGTCCTTGGACCCTTTAGGGATCTGGCATCCACGGATCCTGAAAGCGCGAGGCCTTGACGTCGACATCGTTGAGCCCTCGTGCCCCTAAACTGCCACACACTACGCCAAACCCTCGTGCCCGGAACCCTTGATCCTATACGAGCTATAGTCTAAATTCCCTAAAGGGGGGATATGTAGGGGATTATATAGGGGACTACCATAGGGGATATTAAGAGGGATACTAGGAGTTCAGACTATAGCTCATACTGTCATGCGTGGAACCCCAAAAGCTTCATGCTGAGCACCCGAAGCCATAGACTCTCACACCGCAAGCCCCAAACCGTCATAAGCCACACCCCAAACTCTAAAACCGAAACAAAAAAAACTAAACTTCATTCCACAAGCCACAGTTCCCGAATGCTGGCCCCAAAGTCCTCCAGGACCTCACGCCTCACCTGGACATATGAGCTAAAATCTAAGCTCGTTAAACGGGTTAAATAGGGGACTATATAGGCTAAGCTTAACCCTTGCCGGGGTTGAACTGGTGTGTCGTACGCCTGTCCTGCAGCCCTCGGGATGTGCGACAGGGATTTCCGAAATCAATCAATCAATCAATCAATCAATTATAGGGTATATATTAAGGGGGATACTAGGAGTGTAGATTACAGCTCAGAAAGGGGTTCGCAACATGAAGGGCCCTAGAAGACCCTAAACATACGGAGAGATGAGGACAGGGTTATGGACTTGCCCTGAAAGATTTTGTAAGACTGCTAATATTGTAGGACTGTTATTGATTACCGTTACCATTATACTACTAGTATTATATTAGTATTCATACTGTTCGTTACAGCAAGAAGTAGCAATTTTCAGAAGCTCTGGATTTCCCACCCCTTCTGTGCTTCGTCGGTTCCTTCTGTACGCGATCTTATGTGCATCATACTATGTGGTAGTTTCCCAACCCCAATATAGACCCCAAATACTATAATCCTGATTATGGTAGCCCCCAAAATAACATCCCCAACCTTAAACCTCCATGCGTCCAGGTGTCACTGAAAACCCTAAACTCTAAACCGCAGGAGGTTAGCCGGCCCCAAAAGCTCATCAATAAACCCTATAGCTCGGGTACTGCCCCCATTCATTAACAGCTGGATAATACGTTGTATGTTGTGATAGTATAGAGCTTTTAATATGACCCGCAGGGGTGGAGGCAGGATCAATCCTATAGAGACACTTGGCTTTGAGGTTAGGGTCAAAAACCTGACTTATAGAAACCAATCCCTTGGCCTCCAAAAATTGAATCTAGGTGATATCTGCAGAAGATTCTACGGGATTAGTTGCCCAGAGGGTTACCCAAGGGGTCCATGTAGGTATCTAGTATACACTTTAAGACCCGAAGGGGTGCTCATAGAACTACGTTGGGAGACAATGCATACACAATGTGTCTAAATTAGACCCTTTGGGTTGGAGAGTTTCAGGGTAGATCCAACTCCTTTTCATTTTTCGAAAACAAGTCCTCAGCAGTTAGTGTCCAGTTTAGTTGTTGATGTTGCTTGTCTAGTTGACCTTAAGATCTCCCTAAACACCCCTCTGTATCCCTAAACCTCAAACGCGATGCCCTGAGCCCTAAACCCTAAACCCTCAGACCGTCAGTTCCGAACAAAGTTTGGCTGTCCTCTTCAAATCCACTTTCTTTTCCATTAGGTCCACACATGGCTTGGCTCACGATGGTTCCGCTCTCTAGAGAAAGTAGGAATGAGGCGGATCCTTCCATCAATCGCTACTCTGGGAAAGCAGAAGCGCTTTGCGGAAGCCCTTTGGCATTGGCCGACTCGTCTTGTGAGACCAAGTCAAAAGTATTGCACACCGGCATGGCAAGAGTGCCTTCCGGGCAGGGCTTAAAGGATCGAATTTTCACCCAACTGAGAGCCGTGTCTCTGCTTTCGGGGGAGATTCTTTGGAATTCTACCGCAACGGAGACCAAACACTGTTGCTGGAATTTGGCAGTTTGGTGCTGTCGAACAGCAAGGACAGCGAGGGTGCATTAAGGGCTCCTACATCAATGGAGCCAGATGGTTTCTTTGTTGGTCCCTGGAAGGGCACCACACTACGCACGCAATCCCTAATGGTAGAAATAAGTCTTCTTCAGGATTCCGCAAATTGAAAGTACTATTTTAGGGGTCCCAATAATAAGATTACAGTATTTGGGGGTCTATATCCGGGTGTCCTTCAATTTTGGGAAACTGCCTTAACCCTTGTGGCACGTCCAGGTCCTAGCAGCGCCTCTACGCCGCTCGCGCGAGGCATTGGGACTCGAGATTCCCGAGGCCTGTTTTGCGAAGGGTTTAGCGTTAAGGACTTAGGATTTTGGGTATTAGGTTGGGGCTTCAGGATTTAGGGGTTTCGGTTTGGGGTTTAGGATTTAGGGGTATAGGATTTAAGTTTTAGGTTTGTTGGTTAACGTTTAGGAGGTTCATGTGACTTGGTCTCTTCCTATACGTGGGGTATGACTCGGGTTAACCTTCGCAAAGCTACGAGGGGGATGGTAGGGTAAGAAGCGCAGATAAAAGAAACATTGGAAAACGATGTGTGCACACATTAATTATTCAAGGCGCTCAAATCATCAGCTTTCATAAGGGCTTAAAGCCCACAGCTATATTAAAGTTTCTCAGGTTATCCCCCGCAGAATCTATCATCCCCCTATATATCCCCCACATACCCCTAGGGTGCCTACTAAGAACCCATTCTTCGCTCCTAAAATGAAACATGCCCTCTGTTTCCATCATCTTTCCTTTTTGGCTGGCCAGTATCCCAAAACCGTTCGGATTTCACAAGTCCTAGGCTCTAAGCCCTCAACATGAAATAGGTTTTGAATCCTGAACATTTGGAACTTTTTGGCGCAACCTGGGAGTATAGGCTGAGACAGACTTCTCAAATTCCAACTTGGGGCTGCAGTGAGCCTTGTGGAGTATGCGGCAAAAAAGGCTACAGGACGGTGCAAAGAGCAGAGGGTTGAGCACCAAACCTATGAACCCTAAACGCTTAGCTTTACCTTTTTGTGTACATGTATATTTACGCCTAGACCAAAGCGCGGTAAGCGGCGGCCGATCTCCTACGCGCAGAGGTGGGGGCGGAGCACGGCGACGGGCTTAAAGGTAAAGCTAAACTCCAAGACCCCAAACCCAAAACCCCAAAACCCCCCAAACCACCTAACAAAAACACCCCAACCCCTGCAAACCCCGAATCATTAATCCCCTACTAACCATCACTAAGCCCTAAATCCTAAACCCTAAACCCTGTATCCCATATATATATATATACATACATGCATACATCTATGTATATATTCCCTTATTCCCTACTACGAACAAGCAAGATGCTGAAGGCTGCGGGTGAGGCTGCGGCCGGCCGAGCAGATCGCATTAGGAAGGAGATACAGGCCCAAGGGATTCGGGGCTTAGGGATCAGGGTTTAGGGATTGATTGGGGTTTAGAGTTTAGGGATGTGGGTGGATTTGGGTTTTGTGTTAAGGTTGCTTACGGTTATTTAGGGTTGCTGAGGGCTGTTTCGGGTTAGTTAGGATTTCGGGACTAGGGTGAAACGTTAACTCTAGAGGGAGAGGAGTACAGAGTTTCAGTGGGTTGCATAAGGTCACGGAATGCTTGGGAGGTGACTGGGGTGGTATAGGTTTAAGGGGGTAGGCAAATATATAGGCTGGTATAAGATTTAGGAGGGAAGGGTATTCAGGGTTTATTTTGGGTACAGGTGCATACCCCGTAATCTAGGAATCTACGTTAGTTTTCTTGAAGGAATGCGTAGCATCACTTAGGGACCTAGGGTATGTTCCTTATTCAAGATGAATTGCGCAATTTTAAAGTCCCAAGCCCTAAACCCTAAATCCTCATGGGGTTGGGGGCTGTTGTGGTTTCAAGGCTTAGTTCTAGGCTTCAGGGTTGCGAAGAGCTTTTAGAGCCTGTGCGAGTAAATCTGGTTTTCAGTGTCCTAGAGACCTTCAGAGCTCAAGTTCAATCCTCATGATTTAGGTCTTCAAGGTCAACTTTTTAAGATTTTAGCTACTTTGTCCGGGCCTGGAGGCTTTTGGCGCAGGGTTTCCTAAACCCTAAACACTAAAGTCAAACTTTGGGGATCTTTGTTGTGCAGGTTTCTACCTATTTTCGGGTTGAGAAGATTCCAGACCTACGGACCGCCAAACCTGCGGTTTAGGGTTCAGGGGTTTAGTAATTCAAGGGTCCAAGTACTCAATATTTGTGTGGGTACTCGGGATGTGGTTAATGGTAGTCGTCATATAGTTTTTGGTGCAGTATATAAATGTGGAATGTTGGGACCCTTGGTTCTTAGGTTTCTTCAGGAATATATCTTAAGCCACTTGGTTAAGGTGCATTGGGCTTTTGGGGGCTGAGGGCTAGGTTCAGAATATTGGTAGGCGACTGCAAGCCGCGCGGTGAAAGGTTTATGGTTTAGGGTTGTATCATGAAGTGAATCTTGAAAAAGTTGTGACTTTATAGTCATAGTTCATATTTGTCAGGGTCCTCAGTACGGGGTTTGGGCAAGTAGAATCACCTTGTTGGTTTAGGGTACAGTGTTCAATGTTTATGGTTCAAGGTTCAGCAGCCGAGTGGCCAAATGGATATATATATATACATATAATCATATATACATGTAGATAGATGTGAGGTTACACCAACATTATGTTGTTTTCTTCTGGTGTCCTAAGGAGTATGGGGGCGGCATTCTAATGGGAACCAAAACAGGACTATAATTTTGACAGGATACAGTGTATAATACCTATCTATATCCACGTATATTGTATTTGAAAATACGTATGTCTATAAATATATATATATATAGATAGATACACTGACATAATACTCTCTCTCATATCACGGACGGGTGCGGGGGACCTTGGTTCCTTATAGCCTGGCACAAAAAAATCTCTCTGCCCGGATCAGAACAAAGCCAACTAAACTGTGTTTTGGGTTTGGTGGTTAGGGTTCCTACACACCACATTTTAGGGAACTTAAGGCCCTAAACCAATGATACTTGCATTCCTAGTATTGATTACGGTATATACTGCTTTCATGGCACTAGGCTCCGGGGTAGGAGTTCACGGCTTGTAACTACAAGGGCCCAACTTGTAAGCCCAGACTTGAACTGCCAGCCTGGAAGCCCAAGTGGTTAAGGTGCAGGGTTTAGGGTTGAAGATCTGGGGTTTAGGGTTTAGGATCATAAACCAGGTACTCTGAGTTAGGGTTTAGGGCATTTGAGCAGCTGGTTGGACCCTTTGCAAATCCAGAGCCCTACATCTCAACCCTAAGTAACATAGTAGCCATCACGGCCTTTCCCATTGCATACTCTGTACTAGGGTTGAGGGTTTTGGGCTTAGGTACTTGCTCCCTTAAGATAAAGTGAGTTTGCTTTGGGAGGAGACAAGCGAGCACAACCAGTCAGAGTGGATTGGATACAACACAATGCGCCTCTTCTTCAATCAGTTTCCGATGAGTACGCTTCCCGATAATTTCGAGAGATCATACTTGAGATTGCATACCCCTGAGTGCAGGCATGCCCCTTAGATCAGTAGGGGTCTCCTAAACCTTAAACCCTAATCCCTAAATACTGAACCTTATAGTCCTAGTAGGGTGTCTTGTACATGCCTTCATTGCGTTGTATCTGGCCTTCGGCATTAACATACGAGGCAGTCTGTGAGAAGCATGTGTCTTTCTACTGGGACTGAAGCAGGGATCCCATTCTGCTACGGTATATCAGGGTAGTTCTTATTGTCACTATTGCGGTTATCATTATTCGTACTATTGTTATTATGGTTATGATTAGAGATCGGAGCTTAAGGTGTTGGGACATACCCAGTCAGATCCATAGGTCCTATCGCTTTGGAGCCCTGTGGTGTTCAAGGGTTTAGGCAGATTTCCCCATGGACTCTGAGCCTGTTAGAAAAAATCTGATCATTCGTCATACCCGGCGGAAAAGACCTTTGATATTAGGTTGGGCCCCCCCGCACTAACAGTGACCACAAAAGGTAATGGTAATTATATTAGGGTCCTTATATATTCCTAGTATACCACTATTTGTGGGTGGGGGCCCAACCCAACTTTGATATCAATATTTGGGGCCACTTTAATGTTACAGCATGCGGCCTGTCTGTATACACCTGCGCAACCCACCAATCTCAACACCCAACTGCAAATACACGGGTGAAGCCAAAGGGGCAAGAAACAACTTACAGATTAGAGTTTAGGGCTTGGCAGGTAGGTTCAGGGATTATGGTCGTAGGCGTCTAGGCCCTGAACCCTCCAGATTCCAGGCATTCCTAAGAACATTTCATACACATCCTAACCCTAAACCCCAGAACCCAAACCCTATCGCAGAGAAGGCAGGTCGCAACCCTGGTCCTACAGACCCGTATGATAAAATGGGGCGATTTCGATAAACAGGGGGACCCCAATATAGACCTCAACATAGAATAATCTTGAAAATGGGGGCCCCAAAATGGTACCCTTAATTTTGGGAACCCCCCTATTCCATCTCCCTAGACATCCTGAATAGCAATTACGCTAGCCTACTCCCATGATTTGGGGATTAAAAAGCTATGCTAGCAGGTGTTTGAGAGTTTGGGGAAACCCAATCCTAACGCGAAGCCCTGAACACAAACAAAAGGACTTGCAACCCTTAGAGGTTCCGAAACGATGCCGCCAACCCTACAACAGGGCTGGCTTTTTGGTATGTTCAAATACTGTCCCATCATGACTGCTTAAAAGCCCTACATGCCAGTGGCAAACTAAGAGAACCTCTTAAGCACGAGAGGGCCCAAACTGCAAGTGAGAGGTAAGGTTTCCAATTTAAAAGAAAGCAGAGGGGAATCCGCCAAGGCCCCTGGGAAGATACAATCCCTCCATGCTAGTTTAGAGGGGTTTAGAGCCTGAAGTCTGCCAGAATTTGTGGCAGTGGTATCCTGATTTTTCGCTACCGTCAGTAGAATATGAACTATGTCTAAACTCCTGATTCGGCATTATTTAGGAGGCATATAGGGAATTACTCTCCGGGCTATTAGGGGCGTTAAACGGAGTTTAGACTATGGCTCACATGGCGAGTAAGCATCTTCAACCTCAACTCCGCTTGTCTTGCTTTCCGTGTTCAGTCGGTCCTACATTCATTCAGTAGGTGTATGAAGATGAGAGGGAGGGCGTAAACTCAACACCCAGGACCTAAAAGAAGGCCTAAGCCTTTAATCCCCAACCTCAAGTAATATTAGGAGTATATTGGGGTTATATAGGGATAATGGAAAATACAATGGAAACTACTATAGTATACCATATTATAGGAGGGATTATAAGGATTACCCCTCAAAACCAAAGCTCTTGAACAAGATAGGCCTTTGGCCAGCTGTAAGCCTCGGCAGGATACGACGAAAAGAAGAAGGCGCGGGAGTGCAGATGCGCTTCATATGGAATTAGAAGTACCTTTATAGAGTAATAGTATTCGTCTTACTATTACTTGTAACCTTGGCATTCGTAGTAGTATTTCTACGAGAGTAGTTGCGTTTAGTGAGATGCCATGGAGGCAAGCCATTATGTTTAAGGACTGGGTTTAGGCAAAGATCAACGAAACTAACATGGATTCCTGAAAATGGGGGATGCATTTCATTGCTTCTCTTGTACAAGGCGCCTGTTTGGAGATGAAATTTTTGTTTGAGAGGGAGAACTTGCAGTGGGCAGCTTCAAGGGAGAGGAACTTGGATATGGGGCGTTTGTGGGGAAGCCAATCAAGGCTTGCGGAACCTGAATTTATGGGTGAACATGAAATTTGGGGTTCACAGCTTGAAGTCCAGGAGGTGTGATTGAAGCCCATGGCTTACACAGACTTGGGCCACGCTTCCGCTCCTATGTCGAATTTTGGGATTGACTCTAAACTCCATAGACCCAGAACCCAAATCCCCAAACTCTGATCCCTAAACCCCCAGTTGAAGAGCCAAGGACGGAGGAGGCATTCTGAAACTTATGCCTGAACAAGCAACTCGTGCAACCCACGAGCCCAAGTGGCTCATGTAGATCTATAGTATATACTTGGCTCCCAAGTCGATTCCCATGTAAGCAGGGTTTAGGGTTTAGAGGGTAGAGTGTGTATAGGGTTTATAGGGCTTAGGGTTTATAGGGTTTGTTGTAGGGTTGCGGGCATGTGTCAGACAACCAAAGTTTTGCCACCAGCACTATGATTGTCGCTTTTACTTCTACCATAGGTAGAAAGTACAGGCATGATTCTTACCATTATTCACAACCCTAATACTGTTGTTATTGTCAGTACTGGCAGTGTTCTTACCGGCATGCTTTCATTAGTATAACTGTCATGAGTCGTAGCATTATCCAGTACGCTTCTTGCGTTTAACTGTGACGGTCGTTCATTGTTAATCGTCCTCTTATGCGTTTGTTTTGCGTAAGTGTTTTATTTCCCATCATTTGTAATAGTTTCATGCGCACTTCGAATACCCGACTGCATGTCTGCAAAACAACATGAAGCTCACCACAGCCCCTGAAGCCTGAAGCAGGACAAGGTCCTGTCCTGGGCGATGATAAGAAGGCTCAGACTTCCACGGGCTACGAGGAGTTGTACTTGAAATATTTATACAAGAGGCTACGTCCCAAACCCGTAAACACCAACCCTGCCGTCGTAGAAAGAGGTCCTTTGACCATTTTGGGAAGCAGTTTCAGGCTTTGCTATTCAGGTTGTGGGGGTTTACAAGTTCCAGGTTCGGATCTGAGCTGTTCTGATTAGGATGACGACTTGGTAATCAGGGTCAGGGGCTGGTCTACCTGCTGCTTCGCAGCAAACACGGTCTGGTCTTGATAATCCACTCGCCCTACCATTAAACATTGTCAGTTTGAGTGGGAGTGGCAGGCCTATGGATCCAAGTATACAAATAACACCTGCATTGGGCCCTAAAGTCTGTAAGTATAACCTACATTTGGCTGCTTGGATCCTTAGGGTAGGTGCATTTGCAACAGGTGGTTCGTCTTTCTTGGGGAGGCCTCACCGCCTACTTGCTTGGCCGCCACCAAACTGGGGTGCCCCAAGAGAGATCCAAATTCAGCTAACCCTTTTTAGCGGACTGCCAAATGAACTCCCAAAATTGACACCATTTCTTGTTTAACCGCGAAAGAAATTTTCAGAACCAGCATCAAGTACATCTAGATGGGAACAAGGACTCTTTGCGTCAATCATTGAATCTTCTGTTCTGCCCTGAGAAGTTGTAACCTTTGGTTTGGATCCCTAATTAGGGTACTTGGTGCCCAAAGTCCCAGGGTAAACAACTTTAAGTCCTAGAGTCCCCTAAACCCTAAACCCTAAACCGTAGAGGCATTTCGGACCTTACCTCCCTTCATAGGCCCAAAGGGTGCATGTAGTTATATATGGGGGGTTTCCCAAAATGATGGGTACCTTTTTGGGGGCCCCCCTTAATAAGGATTATAATGCATTAGGGTCTGTTTTGGGGTCCCCCTTGTTAGGAAACTACCATATATATATATTATGTATATACATATATATTATGTATATATATATATATATTCCGTGACTTTGAAATGTATACCCCCGAAGGTCCGAAAGGGTTCTATGTGATTAGACAATACCTTGCCTATATATAGATCATACCTGTAAGTTGACTGCGTGAGGCTCGAAGCTCGGCAAAAGCTAGGGTCTAAGCCCGAACCTGAACAGATCCTCACTCTCGCGCATCGACTGCTAAACGCTGATTTCTACGAACCGTCCTTAGCTACACCTTTTCCCTCTTCCAGGGCATTGTGGACCTGGCAGAAGCAAGAGCACCGCCGGGCATTGAAGGCGCAACGCGGGAACTGGACAGCAGCGGGATTGTGAATTAATGTAATTTGCTCAGGATATTGCATGGTCACGAGGGGTTTTTTCACTACCTCGGGCTACAGCTTCGGGGAGTAGAATCCTCTACATCACCCTCCCCGGGTCCTTCAAACAACATGCTGCGCCACAGTCTCTTGTACTTACTCCCAAAGGGGTCCGTGTAGGTATGTAGTATATACTAAGGAGAAACAGGGGCTGCCATGTAATCATTCTAGGCCCAGGTACATACTATAGGGGTTAGTGTTTAGGGATCGGGGTTTGACGGTTTTGGTTTTTTTTGGGACCATTCTACATAGCCTGTTATAGTCCCAGACGCGGACCCTAAACCCTAAAACCCTAAAAACCCTAAAACCCTAAAGCCTAGATTGAACAGCTTGAGGATTCTGCTTCTAGAGAACTTGAAGCATCTCTTCACCCCCAGTCTCAAGCCCTGTAAGCCTGAGCTTATAGACCTTGAGGTCCCTCAGGGTTCCCTTTGTGTTTAGTAGGGTGTAGGGTTTAGGGTGCAGAAATTAGGGTTAGGATTTAGGGTTTAGATTTTAGGGTTTGGTGTTCAGGATGTATCAAGAGGCCACTAACAGGGGCGTAACAAACGGGGGCGTAAGGCCCCCTGCCCCAAACAGGCCCAAATGGCGCAATCGGTCCCAAACGGGCCCATTTTGAATTTTCCCATTTTTGGTCCTTTTTCTCACAAGTCTTGAAAGATAAGT